AACTAGGTTGCACACATGGACTGTTCAGAGTAAATTAGTGTTCCGCCCCCATGGCCTGTCTCTGTCCCCTCAGAAAAGTATGTGGCTATCAATTCTCAGGCTGTCATTAGCGATTCCACTTGTGCACCTGGCTTCAGTGATCATGATGAATGACGGTCTGCATGTAGGAGCTAATGTACTTAGTGTTCAGTTTTTGTTTACAACTGATCTAGTATTTACGAGAACAGTGGATAAACACTGGCTACATTGTTACAGTGCGCGGACAACATCTTGATAAGATGCTCCGTGATTATCCGTGATTATCAGCACTCAGTGTTCGTGATCGTTATTGTTTTTCGCATGGTATTAAATCAGGTGCAAATGTAATGTTTGTGTAGGGAGTTGAAAAGCCTATTGCCTTACCAGATTTCAGAAAACTCTTAGCTGCTTTAATAGACCTAAACTTGAAAAACACTGCACATGGGTTGTTTGCTGATTTCTTGCGAAGACGGAAAACCTGACGGTCTGTTGACAGCATATTATAAGCCCTTAGAGATGAAGTTTTGAGTTTGGCAATAGGCTAGCTCTCGGTCTGGAATGTGGTAAACCAAGAGGTTACGTGAAGACATAATAAGATAGGAATAAATATATATATTATTGGATTTTCATCATGAGCTGACATTAGTTAGAGAACCATTGAGAAGCCTGGGAGTACTGGACAGTTGTTTCGTCCTACTTTGGGACTCTTCAGCAATACGCACCCACCGGGATTCGAACCCAGGACCTTCTGGTTACAAAGCGGGCTCGTATAGCATTAAGCCCCTGCGACCCGATCCAATGGCACATGAATTCTAACTTCTGCTAATTCACGACATAGCGCGACCCCTAGCCAATGTCTTCGGTGGGGTCGGGTGTGAAAACAAATACTCGCCGAAGACATTGGCTAGGGGTCGCGCTATGTCGTGAATTAGCAGAAGTTCGGAGGAGTCTCGGGAAACCATGAAGTCAAAGTAGGAATGGGGACAAAGAGTCTCCAAACTATGGTCCTAGCTAACTTGTGATTAACCTGAGAATGTATAGGAAGTGAAAAAATTGGCATAGAACTGTTAGAGATATGTGAAATTAGTTGGAGTAGGAGTGAAATCTTCAAACTACTAACCTGGGCATTTCTAAAAAATTATTTGTAAAATCTCAGCGAAATTGAAATGATTAATTTCAACGTTTCCTTTGACAATCAGTTCCGAACTTCTTCAGGGATATCAATCGAAATCAAGATAAAAGAGGTTCATATATATAAAGGGACATCTCTTGTTTTTAAAACCTTTGCCCGATCATATGAGTCATGAGACAGGTATCAGCATCTATAATAAAAAAGTGTATGAACTGTGATCAAAATTTGACCTCAGACTTTCAAAATTAGTCTAGTTTTTTCAAACAATTTAAACGGAGTGTACTTTTCATCAGAATATATTAAACTAAAAGTTCATTGTCGTAGATAACTGAATATGAAAATATATGTGTATATGCAGTATACAATGGTGTGTGTATGTGTGTGGGTAAACAGTCATAAACCATTCTTTAGCCTCTCCATAGGAAGATATAGACAATAGGGGATTTTGACCAAGTATGATTAACTGTTGATATATATCCAATTTTTGTTTATTAATCAGGATTTACCATGCATCAGCTAACATCGTACCTTCACGTCTGCGTCACACTGTTGGGATTTTCCCATATATGCAAGGCTTTTGAAATCAGCCTTTCTTTATACGAACAAAAGCCTTTCAGTGGAACCTGAGTCTTATTGAAAGTCCATTTTGTGTCCCGTTTCTATCGAATGCAGTGTAATCACTGACTTTTTCTAACTTCTTTAATTATGCAGAGATCTTTGGAATCACCTTTGGATAAAAAAGGAAAATTTGACATGATGAAAGCAGTAAAAAAGTATTTCCCAAACAAAGTGTTATACAGTCTCTGTGTGAGGGAATGCTGTCCTACAGAATTTCTTTCGTGAAAGTTAAAGTGCTTCCTGTTACTCCTTGTACTGTGTGGGAAGTGGCTGTTAGGCATTTGCGGAGGTCATTGTTATCATGACGTGAAAGATAACACATCATTTTAACATATATAGATCTCAGGCAAATGTATGTAACATTTCAAAGCCCTATGTATGCTATGGTTCAAATATATATCAATGGTTCTCATTTGTCACATATCACCGTGTTGGTGGTTTCGAATTCTATTCATGTACAAACCGTATGTATTTCTCAAGTGCATTCGGGGTGACTTGAAGTGTAATGTGCGGTGGATGGGACTAAAATTTTGTGTTGTTACCAGACTAATGGAAAAGGTGACAAGATATTTTAGAAACCAGCACTTTCATCGAAATACTTACCCATATTGTCGACTGAATACATACTGATATAAAAAGTGGTTTCGGGTTCTGACTCTTAATTTTTGAAGACATTACTGTAAGTGGCTGGTTTCTCTTTTTCAAATTCCATGATCACTTATTAACCCTAAGTGATCATAGAATCCTGTGTTGTAGAGGCCTTGCAATATTTTAACTAGGTAATGTCTACAAAGTAGATAACTGTTGGCGGTAAAAAATTATCTGATCCGTTAGACTTACTGAGGCAAACTGCGGTGGTTGTCTGAAATTCAACGAAGTTAAGCTGGGAATACAACAAGCACAATAGTAAGGAAGATGCTATTCCAACTTAGCTGTTTATCTTTGTTACGAAATATTCCTTGATCATTGTTCCCTAGTCAGTCTATTCTGTTTGGAATGTGAAGCTTGCTGAGTGATAAAACCTCTTCTCCACAACTTAACAGTTAGCTGGACAAAGTAAGCTTTTCCAAAGCAATTCATATTCATCACACCCAGTCCTTCCTAGTGCAGGCACCGTGATAGTTAGGGGTTCTATAATGCCATGATTCATTCACCACCGTTCTCATGCAGCCTACAATGAAATAATAATAAGGACTTATTTCAGACAATTTCTAGTGTTCCAAAATGTTTGGTCTTCGTAGAGGATTTACATGCGAAGTGATAATCTGAAGTATGTTATAGGACATATTGATGCTGCATATGAAGGTAGAACCAGTTCCGTACATTTTTCTTCGTTTCTTTCAAGAATTGCTCAGCGTTCCATTGACAGCCAATTAAAAACATGCACGAGTTCATGTAGTGACGTAATCGAGTGACTGAAACAATAAGAAATGCTGTAGAGTTTAGGCATTTCGGTGGATGGAAACTCCGGTAGCCGAGTGATGAAAACAGGCCACCATTATGTGCAACAAACAGGAGTGTAAGTCACCGTGTTTCCTACTATCCTAAAGCATTAGGATGATGCAGCTTATCTTGGTCATGGATATATCTATTTCACATCAAAAACAAATGGAGATGTCAAACAACATAAAGTATTCGACCTCACATTCTCTAATCAAACTTGCATGAATATTTTCTAATTCTGAACCTTGATTTTTTATCAAAGCCATGCAAATTTTAAATGGTCCCAGTGAGGCAAAGGTTCACATACTTGAGACAGATCTTACTCTATCTAATGCGTCATAAATGAGACTGTAATTGAACTGCATGGGTGAAACAACACGCTTGAATTCGGTCGGGAGCTCGCTCTTTTGAATAAAAAAGTAGTGTTGGTTAGGTAATGTCACCTAGTCCTTGTGATATGATTGGTGAAATTGTATGAAAAATCTGGGTGGGCTGGCTACAGCGTTCAACCACGGGATGTTAATGTCGTCCATTTCGCAAAAGTAAGAGAGTGCAGTTTTCAGAGAACCGTGTAAACATTCGGTTGACACTGAACAACACCGACCAAGGAGGGACTTCCACACAGTTTTACGGTGAATACAAATTTGTATGACTGAAAATAAATATCTTCCGTCCCAACAGCGTCACAACCCACTGGAAGTTGATTAGCTCCCCATCATCCTTATGAACATCAGGAATGTAGGTGCTAACATAATGATTATATCAAGCTTATGTTATTCCCACATAGTTGTATCCGGTAGAAAGGCTACTTAGCGTTGTGAATCTAGGTCGATTAGCTATGAAAAACAGTGAAACTGGTCACCAAATGTTTAATACTTTCATCGAAACAAGCTAATAATTTTATATCTATGTTCAACATCACAGATTCATTTTCTTTAGTAATTTAGTGAATATCCTTTCTAATAAGTGGTTTTGGAACTATTTAAACCATGCAGCGACACAAGGACTGCATCCAAATGGCCTATCCCCTTAAAATCGCATATACCATTCAAAGGTAGACAATTAAACTGGTCGTTTTACTTCTTCACATTCCCTTAAGTCTTACTCTCCTGACAGCTTTAACTACACTTATTATTATTATTATCATTATCATTATTACTGGTATATATATATGTATACCGGTTAACTGACTGTTGTTACGTTTTCTTATTCTTTCTCTGTCTGTTAGTCTGAATACCTTTACTAATTATATCTATTATTATTATTATCTCTTTTCCATTGACGACGATACCGAAAGACTAGCTGGTGAAAGGATCAACTCCATTCACAGTAGTAACAGTCTTAACACACTTCATACTACAAACCCTATATAATTAACTCCAGCACTACTGTTGGAGTCAACCAAAGCTACGACAGTCGAGTGGCGGGACGAGCTACACAGACGTTTACCAAAGATCAGGAACCTCTACCTCACAATCAAGAGGCGAGCACAAAGAAATCAAATTGGTTTATACTAGCTCGTAAAAACGATATTGGATATTGGAGTAGGGGTTATTGCACCAGTTGTCGCGCATTTTTTAATATTAGTGTTACTGCTGGTATTTTGGTTGTCCTCTGTTTGTATCTTGGGATGCCTATCCACAGACACATTAAAAACGTAGTACATAACTACACGGATGCTGAGAGAAAAGTCCGTGAAGCCACTTCGAATGATCCATGGGGTCCTAGTAGCACTTTAATGGCTGAAATAGCAGACAAGACTCACAACGTAATGGCATTCACGGAAATAATGCAAATGATTTGGCGACGACTGAATGATAAAAGTAAAAATTGGCGTCATGTGTACAAGTCACTTGTTCTACTGGATTATTTAACGAAAACAGGCAGCGACAAGGTGGCTACACAATGTCGGGAAAATATTCACTCGATTGAAACACTCAAAGTGAGTTTCTTATTGCAAGTGATGATTTTCAGTAGTATCTGTGGTGTCATTGCTTACAGTAATCGTAGGGGTCTTTCTTGTGCAGTAACAATGGACGTTTGTTCAGCAAGATTGTCTCACTTTTGTAGGATGTTTGGAGTCTCCATTTATGAAGCTTCTGACCTTTTACATCACTTTTCTTCCAAGAGGTGCTTTAGGTGTTTGCTTGATTTTATCAGTCCTTGGAGAAGTGGTTGTTAAAGTTTGATTAGATATTGGACGTTGTGTTCTAGGTTGTAAAACTTTGGTTTTTGTAGTTTCAGATTCAGATAATAGGGGTTGAAGGCTCCTGTTGCCTATGTTAATTCTTGCGATATTCATTCCTGCACAGATCTACTTTCTCTTTGAAAGCGTTCGCCGATGGAGCTAGTACTACAGAGTCAGGTAAGGAGTTCCAGTCGGTGACCAGTCAGTGAGAGTCTAAATTCTATACGTGTTTTATTCGACCTCGGTTTGAGCACCTTTTCGTGGTGACCTCGTATCCTAGAGGGGAAGATAAGACTGGGAAGGTCAATCCCTAAATCACCTTTTTATATACGGTGTGCCGAAATTGAGTTGCCTCTCCTCCTTCGGTATGATAGCGGGAAGAGATTTAAATGCTCCATCCTCTTATTATAAGTAAGTGTGAGATACCACTAACTAATTTGGTTCCTATCCTCTTTATTATTTCCAGGATGTGTGCTTCCTTTCTCAAGCATGGACTCACCTTTTGTATTCAGTATTCTAGTTGTGGGTTGATATATATTGCACAGAGTACTTGGAACATACACTCGTCTAATCGTTTGAAAGCCCTTCGAGGTGCCCATAACATTCGAAAAGCCTTAGCTGAGGCTATATTACAATTTGCCGTTGTTTTTAAGTCATGGCTGACAATTCCAAAGTTCCGTCTTCTGGCCGCTCTGTGTCCCCCAGGGAGTACGACATGTAAGACTTCTGACCTAGGTGCACTACCGCTCCTTTCTTGGGATTAATTTCCAGACTCCAGAGATTAGCCCATTCAGCTAATTTATCTAGATCGTTTTGTAATACCACTCTATCATCAATATTATTTAAGGTTTTCTATACCTTAATATCGTCTGCAAATAATAAATAAGATGAAGTAAGAATTTTCGCTAGTTGAATTGGGTATAATAGGAATAGCAGGGGGCCAAGTACAGTTCCCTGAGGTATTTAACTCACTACTGCTTCCCACGCTGACAGTACACCATTAAACCTTGCTTTTTGCCTTCTATACGAATATGTGGTGTACTTAAGCTACCGATGGCAAACTATAAAGCGTTCACAATCAAAATCAACTTAAATTTGACAGATTTCTTAGCACTTTTTTGTTCATGTTAAGTGAATTGTTCGTATTTTGACGAATTCACCTAACTTTCTAGACAGTGATAAGAATTATTATTTTAATCAGGAATAACAAAACTTATGAAACCCTTTAGCGTTATGCACACTGGATGCTAAAATATTAACATTATTATTGCTTACCTGGTGGCATTTTTAGGCAATTGCGATGCCTGTTCATAGGCTCATTTTTTCACTTAACGTGTCTTAGAGTATGTAGTAATTTATTCAGCTAACTTTAGTAAGCATTAATTTTGCAGTCTTCTATACCTGAGAAACAAATTTCCCCTCGTGATTGTTCTGTATAGTGATGCCTCTAAAAGCAATTCGCAAGAAGTTAGCTCTTCTTCACCCGAAGACGGTGGCTGTATCTGTTTATCCTAGCTAATACGAAGTGTTTTCTGAAACTTAGGCGCTGAATTTTTTTTAATGATGATATCTGATGGTGTTATAACTGAACTGATCTGAATAGACCCCGTCACTACTTTGTTATATCTGCGCCTGTTAATTACTGTAACGTTAATGAACTTGACTGGTAGGCTAATACGTCTATTTGTCCGTTGTACCTCCCGATTCACTGAGCCACGCAAATATCAAAAGACAAAGGCTGGCCTGTGACTGTAAGATATTGCATTATACATCTATTAGGAAACAAAATATATTTATATATTTAATTTATCATAATACATTTGGCTCACAACCGTGAGAATGGACTGTTCTTATTGGCTGGAAATTTCTCGTCTGCTTGTTTGGTGATCTGACAAAGACCAAGGTGAGACAAAAGACGATGAATTGATCACACACTAAATCACAATATGCATGAGAAATGATAGATCCACATAGTAACTATATGACAAGATAAATCACACGATTCGTGAGAAAGGATGATATACTATTTTATGCTGGGTCCTATCAGATGGGTTTGAAATAATATAGGAGGAAGTCTAGGAGAGGAGGTACCAAAGAACTATGTGAAGGGAAGTAAATAAATATAGTAGATGTAATCTACATAAACATCACACATTACCAACCCAACAAAGCTGGTGCCACTGAGAATTACTTACACGCTTGTGCCACACAGTTTTCTGGAGACGGTATTGATAGGGTATGGTCGCCGCGTTTCCTCAACTCAGAGATCCTGATGTTCTTGGATATGGACCAGACTGATACTGGAGTCGATGTTGTTAGGGCTTTTGTTTTCCAACTAGAAATTTCATTTTTCTGAACGCTTCCAGCACGTACACAACTCTTTAGACAAACGTTTTGACTACTAAAGACTTACACGTCAAGATGAAGGTTGAAACTTTTACCAAATTTGTAAAATCATTTTGCAAAATACATACCATACTTACAGATGCTAATCGCCAACTGGCTAAGTGTGACTTGACGAGGCTGTGTGTGATAAGATATCGTCAGCATATTCAAGACCAAAAGGTTTTTCTCTGGACAGTTAATCTGGCACCAATCAGCTGTGCAGCAGTCTCCTTTCAACCAATGGATCTTGGGTCCAATTCCCTGTCTACCTGCTTCAGCGTAGGCAAACAGCATAATGTCATCAGCCCCGCATACAGTAACTGTCGCCCATAGCCTGCAATAGGGGAGAAAATAATCCATTTATTAACCTGATTTGAGTATCGACACCATCTTCAAAAGATCACAGAAGGGACGCATACTAAAGCATTGTCGGAATCAGAACAAGTGCTCAAAATGGACAGCAGTCCTATATACATTCATATCAGTAGCCGAATGGGGGAAGGGAGAAGGTAGTGCTTCGTGTATGTGTTTTTTAGTTGATGATAGTTGTAGTCTACTCAAATCCTCAGTGTGACCTACGACTGTCTAGACGACTATTCTTTGAGCATACTCGTCTCCAGCACCCCAGTATTTATCAACACGTTCGTTGAATGCGTCACTCAGTTGACGGTAACATGGAAATGTGATCCTTACTGTAAGAGAACTTCGTAGGGTGACAGACGACTTTTGATGTGAATCCTGTAATATTCGGCTGTTGACCAAAGGGTGTGTATACTGCTCACCAGTCCGCTCCATCCTCCTTTATGGCTGGCTGGCTGTGAGACATGGCCATTCACATAGTGGAAGACATGAAAAGCCAGGCTAGCTAGCCAGCTTTCTTTGATCATAGGTGTCTTCATTCTATCTCCCGTGCTAGGTGGTGTAAGTGGTAGGTATAACAGGTTGAATGAGCAATATTGAGGTGAGGCATCGGTCGGTCGAGTGCCAGGTAAGCAAGTGGGAGGAGGAGGGGGAACCAATCGACGAGGTGGATAGTCAGGACATGTGATACTCGCGCATGCATGCCTGCCTGCCTAGCCATCGCCTTCCTCGACCGACGGGCGGGGAAATGTTATCCACTGACTGACATAGGATGGATGGATCAAGCTGGAAAGGAGTTAGCTAGTGGTGGTGGTGGGGGTGGTCAAACGAAAACATGGCTTCACCATGAGTCAATGAAATCCACAACAGTATGCTTAAGCCAGCCAGCCAGTCACGTAGAGAGGTGTAGGTGTAGATTGCCTTGTTGGGGTCCTCATGATGGTGGTGAGAATCAATGAAGGCTGGAGGAAATTGATGATATGGCTGGCTAAATGTCTTTCTCAGTGATGGCTGGCGCTGGTGCAGATACATTAGCTCTGTGATGATTTACCCTATCCAATAAAACCCTACTGTGATTGGACACTAGTCAGTGACTAGTGCAGTGTGTCTGGCACTTTGTTTGGTACAGACTGGATTTTATAAGTCAAGTTTGCAATGTGGCCAGCATTCTAGGTGGCTTGCCATCATGGTTCACTTCGCATTATCTATTTTAGATGGTTTGAGGCAATGGGCAAGAGGCGTTGGGTCTAGGTTTCGTGCTAGTTGGCACTCGTCAGCAAAGCGTAGCTGCAACAGATACAAAGATAAAGAAGGCTTGTTGGGCATTTTTCAACCAACTTACATCTCTCTCTCTGGCTTAGTAGACGTGATTTCCGGTTGGTTGGCCATCGATCGAAGGGCTTGTGTAATGCTCACCAGTTCGCTCCGTCCTCCTTCATGGCTGGCTGACTGTGAGACATAGTCACTGAAAGTGGAAGACATGATAAGCCCGGCTAGCTAGCTAACTGTGTTTTATTCTAGGTGTCTGTGACTTGTCTTCTGTTATTAGGTGGTAGGTGTAAGCAATCAACTCGCTGTTGTCGGCTGGGCTGATGGGACATCCCAAATAAGTGAAACGGTGAACACGCTCAGCTAGCCAACCAACCAGCCACCACTTCACTCGTACCTGTCTATCTTTAAGCTAGAAGTCAACGTAGTTCAGTCCTCTAGCATCATCTTACTTTTGATGGCAGGAGCAAATCGCATGCCAAACATTCGAAGATTGCTGCTGAAGCTCAAGGTGTTCTGCTGCTGCTGCTGCTGGATTCCACATAGAACTTGGCACCGAAGTGCAGCAGTTCGAGTTGCCACGTTCCAAATCGCACACAAAGGTAGACAAGAAAATGAGTGAAGAGAATCAATAGAGTTTTGACAAGTATAAGAGTGAAACAGAATGAGTAATGGTAGAAAGCAATATGAAAGATTACAGAGACTGAATATATCTGCGCCATTGACAACGATTTTGTGCCATGTCACCTATTGTCTCCATCCATTGATTCTTAGAGTTCCGAGGGCCCCAACCCGGGAGTCTGCATCTCCCTACCTGACTCAGTTTAACTGTCATGGATTTCATGGATTGATGCCATGTTTTTGTTTGGCCACCACTTACTCTTTTCCAACCTGCACCTATATCAGCTAGTAATGTCCGTCGGGAGGGGGAGGCGATGGTTAGGCATACGCAGCACGTCACCTAGCCATCTCAATCTATGTGACTTTATAGCCTCTTCGATTGATTTTCCCTCTTTGCCCAACACTCTACGTCTAACGTCAACATTACTTACCTTATTATACTCAAGGTGTTCAGAAGACTCGGCTCTGTTTTTGTCAGCGTCTTCACCTAAGGGGGGATGACTGTATCATTATCAGGATATTCTTAGTCAACGAGATTTTATTCCCTCGTGGTAACAAGTCAATCCTTGAGTGGCTGAAGTCAGTTAGGTTAAAGTCCAATATAGTACGTCAATGATAAAATTAAACGGAAATGGGAACAGTGGGCATTTATCGGAAGGACACCAATACTGGCTGTCACCGTTTCCGTAGGCTCTCACCTGGCTGGCTGACTGCATGAGTTCCAGTAGAGTGAGTGACTTGATCACTGTGATTTATTTCCTTGGCATTCTCGGTATTTTCATTCACTTACTGTATATTCTACCCTAACTTGGTTTCATATAATGTAAAGCAAATGAGATTGCTTTTTGTTTTTTTCTCACTATATTACTTAAATTTCTTTCGTGTGGAATAAAGCAGACAATAGAAATCAGTTAGTTTTCCTATCTGTCTTATAGTTTGTTGTGAGTGCTCTTTTTTATTTAACTGAGAGCAGCACTTGTTAGTTGATAACCATTGCAATTAACGTTCATATTTAAATCAATATTATATATATATATAGACCTGATATTTGTTACAGTCACTTTCAGTCAACATTATACACTTTTATATGCATTTTATTATATATATAAACAGGATTTTGAATATGTTGAAGATGGTAAAGATTGTGGTCAAAATGTTCGTGAGAAAGCACGTCTGCTAAGCGCACTTCTTAGAGATGAAGAACGTCTGCATGAAGAACGTACAAAAGCTTTACTAGCTCGTGATCGTTTAATGCATGGTGGACTTGGAATAACAGCGTCTGCTTCAGCTGGTGGTGATTCACCGAATAAATATGGATTTTCATCTACTGGTCGTAGTAGTTATCCAATTGGATATCCTGGTTCAAGTTATTTTGAAAAATCAACCTTACCTTTACCTTCAAGTATGTCTATGTTAAAATGGGGGGGGGGTTATTTTACCCTGAATTTTTTGTTTTGTTTTTTAAAGTGATTTTTAGTGTTCAAAGTTTTGATCACGGATTAATGCTAGTAGGGACCCGATTCAATGGCCAGTGGATGAATTCTAACTTCTACCAATTCGTGATTCAGCGCTACCGCCAACCAGTGTCATCAGTCGGAAATCCATCTCCACACTTGACTACTGGTTGGACCTCACTGGTCATGACTTCTCACTAGAACATCTCCAGGAAACTCCGTCCTGTAACAAGTCACTAGCAAGCATCAGATTAATTTTCAAGAGTTGGTTTGTAAGGATTAGATTTGGCTTTATGAGTTTGACCAGGGATAACTGATATCATTTAGAGAAGCATTGAAAACCAGGGAGTACTGGACAGAGCTGTTTCGTCCCAGTTTTGGACTCTTCATCAGTACGCACCCACTGATGTTCGAATGCAGGACCTTACGGGTTCAAGGCGAGCTAGCTCGTAGACCATTAAGCCACTGAGACCCGACCCAATGGTCCGTGAATTCCAACTTATGCCAATTCACGCACGATATATGACGTGACTGACACTAGCGAATATCATTGATGGTGAGTATTTGTCCTCATACCTGACCGACCTGCTGTACTCCCCACTGGTCAAAACTTCCCACTAGAATCCAGGTAACTATCTCTACCTGAATTGGACCAGTTACTAGTGAGCATTAGGTTGGTATTCAAGTATTGGTTTGCAGGAATTTGATTGATTTCAGGATTTCATCATGCACTGAGATCGGTTAGAGGACCATTGGAAAAAACCAGCTGGGAGTACTGGACGGCTGTTTCGTTCTAGTTTGGAACTCTTCGGCAGTATACCCCAACAGCAGTTCGAACTTGAAAATTCCGGTTACAAGACAAGTTCGTAGACGACTATTCAGCCACTGGGACCTGAATCTCTAACAACTTGAGACAAATTAACTCTTGAAAATTGATCTGATGGTCGCTAGTGAGAAGTCGTGACCAATATGGGAGTGGGGGCGGGTGTCCACTAAGTTAGGCCGTGAGTAGAAATACTCGCCAGCGATGACATCATTGGCTGGTGTCAGTCGTCCTAAAAGTTCATGGGATTGCCATTGAAAATTGGGTCCCAGTGACTGAATGGTCTACGAGCTTTTCTTGTAACCGAAAAATCCTTGGTTCAAATTCTTGTGGCGCGTGTAATGCTTAAGAGTCCCAAACTAGGTGGGATATGGAACAGTTTGTGCATTTAACCTGTGTTAATCGCCACAAGGTCGCCAATCTAACCCATTATTCTTGGGTACCACGTACAAAGGTGAGGACCACGGGCTGCTTGATGGCCGGATTATTCCCATTTCCAGCATATGTTCGAACACAGCTTTAACGGCTTTTAGATTTTCTAGGGAGAAAGCTCGAGGCTTTGCAAAGACTGGCGGGCCAGTCGTAGCAATATGATGCGTGACATCGGAAGTCACACATGGTAGACCACGGCTAGGTTTAAACAGGTCAGGAAAAGATTGAAGTATATGGGAATATGGGCCAGCTGAAGTGGGTGTAGCATATACCGGGCTGAGGGCTGGGTCCTGTGTGGCGATACCGTTGATAGAGAGGTTTGTGACTGGATCTCTTAACTTGCGGTTACCAGTATCTACCAGTAATTGATAGTGCTGCAACAGGTCCATACCAATTATACCTGCGGTCACGTCTGCCACTAGAAAGACCCAACGAAATGTACGGCGCAAGCCGATATTAAGGTCTATAAAACGCCTGCCGAATGCAGCAATGGGCGGACCATTTGCGGCACGTAGTTGTAAAGACATTGGCCGCCTGCGCTCTTCTGCTGTGGGTGAGATTACACTGACCTCCGCTCCGGTATCAATGAGGAAGCGTATCCCCGTGTTACGGTCGGTGACGTAGTAGAGGCGACATGGGAGTGGTTCGCCAGCGACGTTAGTCGCCAATACTTGCTGGCCTGCTAGTTTCCCAGCTGTTGGCCATCGAAGGTGCACCGGCGAGTGCACTTTTGGGTCTTTGCACCATAACGCCGATGATAACAGCACACTCCAGGCTGGGAATTTCGAGACTCGCGACGCCTACTGCTAGCACGTGAAAAGGATCTATTACGAGTCGAGTTGGTGGAAGTACCCGAGCGACCTCTGGCTTTCATCTCCTGTCTAAAACTACATATCTCCTCGTAAAGCTTGGTTATATGGGCCACTGATCGAAGCTAGGTGATCCTTCGGCAGAAGAATCCTTGGTCTGAGCGGGACTATCGGTTACCGCAGCCGAAATGCTCATGTTGGATCTAGTAGCCTTCACTGCTCTATCGGCTGCCTTGGTTACTTCCAATAAGGGAGACTTGTAGATCGGGGCTAAAATGCCCTAAATCGTCTGAGGCAATCTTCGTAACCAGAGCTGTTTTAAAAAGGCATCAACTATTGTGAAGTCAGCGACTAACTGTTTCATCTGTCGTAACATTGGAGTGGGCTTTCTGTCACCGAGCTGAACATGTTGGAAAAGTTCTTGCACTTTCTGTTGGTCAGTGAGTGCAACGCGCTTAATTAGTGCCTGCTTGAGACGCTCATACAGGTCGGCGGATGGATACTCGAGAACGTCAGACACTTCTTCCATGACGTTCTCGGGAAGGCTCACAATTACCAGATTTACCTTGGTTTCTTGTGAATGTATATGTCTGAGGGTGAACAGAGTTTCTACGTGGCCGAACCATGCAGCAGGACAATGTGTGCAGAAGGTGGGGAGTTGCAAGGTGATAGCCATCTGTGAAGGAGAACACTGTTGTTGGCCATCATGCGGACAAGACGATATATTAACAGAGTGATATAACAACAAATATAGGAATAAAAACAAGGCAAGTAAAATTTTATAACTCTACGTGAAAAATAAACAATGTGCATCTACCAATTCACCTGCTCATGTGCAGCTACGTATGTCGGTCGTACCCAGCGTTTCCTATCCAAACGAATCAGCGAACACTTACCTTCATGGTTTTATAAAGGAGAAAGAAGATCCCCTCGCCACAGCTCTATCCTAGAACACTTGATCGAATCCGGACACCAAGCAAACCCACAAAACAATTTCTCAGTTATCTACACAATACGTGGGAATCTTGCCAAAAGAGTACGAATTAAACTTCTTCAAACTGCAGAAGCAATCGCAATTCACATATTGAATCCTGAACTCTGCATACAAAAGAAGTTTGTTCAGTCACTAAATCTACAATGGTCCTGATCTGTCTCAACACCAAATACGTAATTTTGTCTCACCTCTTTCTTCTTTGTTTGTCTGTTTCTTAACTGCATTATTTTCTACCCCCACCCTCTATTAAATCTCTACCCTCATGACGACTGTTGCTTACTCCATTTTCGTTTATTATTTTTAAGTGAATTCCACTCAGCTTATTAACTTAACTCTCATTCATTTTCAAGTGAATTCTACTCAGATTATTAACTTGACTCTCATTCATTTTTCACTGAACCCTATCAATTAGATTACGTCACCCAACCTACTTTTGTAACTTTATTTTAGTTTCTAACCGATTAACGCCTTCTAAATTACGTAATTTGTTGTCAAAAATTAACAATTGCATTAACACATCTTTGGAAATATTCCTTTGGTTGCCAAGAGAAATTACTATAAATTTGCGGTTTGTACAGACAGCTTGAGAATGATATCGCCGAAAAGAGTAACTCTTTGCTGAACGCCTTTTCTTTTCTATGACTGAATGGGAATTTTCAAATTACATAAACAAATTAGTCAATATGTAAAAGAATTGTAACACGTTAAGATACTATAGAAGCGAACGGTGAAAACACGGGCTCATCACTTGTAAAAGTTAGACTAGCCAGTACTCCAGTACTCACTGATTTTTTAAATAGTCCTCGCCAACTGTGATATCGGATAGCTGTGATCACACCTGAAATAAAATTCAAATCCCCACAGTCTAACACTAGAGAGTTTAGTGTTTCCACTTCGTATAGATAAGTTCTTAGAGCAATACCCCAAGGTAATATGTCTGCTACTATAATTTCAAATTATACTGCTCTGTTTGCTGTTTTAATTGTGTTTTTTTGTCAGGATAGTGTAACACACAGTGAATATTGGGGATGTCAATAATAATAGTAATGTGTTGGCAATTATTTTTCTTTTTTTAGGATTTCTCTTTTTATTTGTGGCAAAATAAACAACAAATATTTCCTGTTTATTATTATTATTATTGTTGTTGTTGTTGCGTTACAGCGAAAATATTCATTCAGACATTTAGAAAAGCAAAAAACAACAACAACAACAAACAATTGGGCGAAGAATGTCCTTCTAGACTATTTCCTCTTCTGGCTCTATAATTATATATATATATATATACATATATATATATACATATATATATCAATACATATTTAGACACGCAGAATATTCTAGAATAATCGCCACTAACAATATTGGTGTTTTTTTTGAAAAAAATATCAACGAAATTACAGTTCAAGAAAGATGCTTAAGTTATAAATAAGAAGCGTTAAAAATGTAATAGTAAATAGAATATCAAAATAAAATGAAGGAAATCTCTACAACAGTAAATTAAGGATCATTAAAACGTTGATTGACGGCCAAGGTAGTAAGGAAAATGTCTGAACCAACCAACTTCTTCTTTTGGATACATAGATTAGGCTTCTTAATGCAGATTCGAACAGCCTCTGATGTGTGTAGTAGAGGAACTCTCGAGGTAAAGTTAAGATTGGTTGGTCGGTGTGTGCGGTAGATGACTTTGAAAGCCATCATGTTGTTAACATCAATCTTGTCTTCTGTGTATCCACGAGATGAGATAGAATAGAACCTTGAATCGACTTTGTTTCTCCCTTACTCTTAACCACTGTACAGGATGGTTTTTTTTTCCTAGTCTGACGATAAATACACCTAATTGTACAGCCAATAACAACTAACTGGCTGACTCCACAGGAGCAGTCTAATTGTGATAGATACACATAGAGGAGGAGGAGGAGGCGAAGTGAGGTAGTTTATCTTTTGAGGATACAGATTACTTCAGCAACACTAAATGTGACCTTTTTACCGTGTTGCTTAGGCGTCGAGGAAGCGAATTGTAAGAACAAGGCCTTTCTTTTTTTTGGAACTGCTGGTCGGTACTTTGACCTGCCTGCCTGCCTGCCTTGACTACTTGAATCATATTCTTAACGATGAATTTTTCTGGGTAAAGGTTTTCATTCATTCACTAACTGTTTAATGATATTAAGCTCTTCATTAAAACTTTCATTGTATAAAATGTACTAAGTGTTATTTCTAAACAACCAATTGCAACAAATTTTCGACTTTTTTTTTTCTTGTCATATACATTCTTCTGAACAGCTATAAGGAGAATATCACTTGTTCAATCTGTCTGAACTTACGTAGTAATAATAATTTCGCCATCAGTCAAGTTAACCTCAAATGTTATGTATGTCACCTTGTTTTGTGAAAGTGTCTGGCGCTGTGGATCAATTATTTTGTATTTTGATCATAGGTGTCTGTGATGTATCGCCCGCGTTAGTTGGTGTAGGCGGTGGGTGTAGTAGACAGGGTGGTGGTAAGCAATATTGATGTGAGGCATCAGTCGGTCGAGTGCTGCAAAAGATAAGGAAGTAGGAGGAGGAGGAGGAGGAGAAGGGGAAATCAATCTATTGACGAGGTTGTGAAGCAGTTACATCGACTGAGATGGATTGTTAGGACATGTGTTATTCACGCATGCCTGCCTGCCTGCCTAGCCATCGCCTTCCTCAACAACGGACGGGGCAATGTTAGCCACTGACTGACATACGATGGATGGATCAGATTGGATAGGAGTTATCTAATGGTGCTGGTCAAACCGAAACATGGCTTTATCATCAGTCAATGAAATCCACAACAGTCAGTTTAAGCCAGCCAGCCAGTCACGTACGGAGATGTAGACTGTATTAGTTTGTTTATTTGACTACCTGACTGCCTTGTCGGGGTCTTTGGGATGCTGGTGAGAGCCAACGAAGACTGGAGACAATCAGTGATGTTGGCTGGCTGAAAATCGTTCTGGGTGATGGCTGGCGCTGGCGCTGGCGCAGATCCATTCACTCTTTGTGATGATTTATCATATCCAATAAAACTCTAATATCCTTCCATATCACTACTCTTTTTGCTTCACTCACACTTCAGTTTATTATCTGTCTTTGTCTCTCTCTTTTTTTAATCTATGTGTGTTTACTCTCTTCTCTTGCTTTGTCTGGTACATGGAGGGAGTGTGGTAACTCGGACTGTCGCGTATCTGTGCATAGTAGTTCTACTTTGAAACCAGCCAGTCAGCATGATGGTAAATTCCTATCATGTTTATAAATATATATATGTATAGTTTAAATCATCTTGTCTTATCTTTTAGAATCCCCTGTCCCGCATGCTTCAACTGAACTGGAATCGGTTAGGCCACAATCTGCTGGTGAAGAACAACTTCATTTGCAACTCGCTTTAGCTATTAGTAAAGAAGAACACGATAGAGAGGAACGCCGAAGACGAGCTGAAGAGGCAAAAGAAGAAGCCAAAGTACAAATGGTGATAGAACAGAGTCGTCGGGAAGAACAGGTAACGTTATTTTGCATGTACTTATTCATTCTATTGCCATCATAAGCAAGCATTGTTGTAAAAATCTCTCAGTTTTCATTGTTGACCAATCATTTTTTGTCGCTGACATATATATATATGTATCTGTTTGTCTTCGATAAAATTGGTAACATTTATTTTTCCAATACGAATTTAAAACAAGCAACAACTAAAGGTGTTGTTGTTCATAAAGCAAAGCAGGATTTAGTGAATTCATCAAATTTTGGTAGAATTCTTCCACATGTGAATACCGCTCTACATACAGGGATATATGCATAGATTATTGGGAGATATAAGATCTGACAAGCAAATAAACTACATTGAATTAAACGTGCAAAACGACACGTGTGTGAACCTTTTCCAGGTCATGTTCAAATCGATAAGGGGAGGGAAGCATGAGACATTAAAATTAAGATAAAATGCAATACACTTCAAGTACACATCACTTAGATAGACAATTAGTCATTAGAGAAACAACTTGAGTATTTCAAGAATTGCGAACTGAGTTCAAATAATAGTAATAATATATCTTGGCAACAAAAGGAATATTTCCAAAGATGTGTCAATGCAATTGTTAATTTTTTGACAACAAATTACGTAATTTAGAAGGCGTTAATCGGTTGGAAACTAAAATAAAGTTACAAAAGTAGGTTGGGTGACGTAATCTAATTGATAGGGTTCAGTGAAAAATGAATGAGAGTCAAGTTAATAATGTGAGTAGAATTCACTTAAAAATAATAAACGAAAATGGAGTCAGCAACAGTGGTCATAAGGGTAGAGATTTAATAGAGGGTGGGGGTAGAAAATAATGCAGTTAAGAAACAGACAAACAAAGAAGAAAGAGGTGAGACAAAATTACGTATTTGGTGTTGAGACAGATCAGAACCATTGTAGATTTAGTGACTGAACAAACTTCTTTTGTATGCAGAGTTCAGGATTCAATATGTGAATTGCGATTGCTTCTGCAGTTTGAAGAAGTTTAATTCGTACTCTTTTGGCAAGATTCCCACGTATTGTGTAGATAACTGAGAAATTGTTTTGTGGGTTTGCTTGGTGTCCGGATTCGATCAAGTGTTCTAGGATAGAGCTGTGGTGGGGGGATCTTCTTTCTCCTTTATAAAACCATGAAGGTAAGTGTTCGCTGATTCGTTTGGATAGGAAACGCTGGGTACGGCCGACATACGTAGCTGCACATGAGCAGGTGAATTGGTAGATGCACTTTGATGAGGCCCCCAGTGGAAGCTTATCCTTCACGTTCTTGTGTATCATTGGTTTCGTAGAGAAAGTTAGTTTGAGTTCAGCTGCGAATAAGGTTTTCTTCAGTGAACGGCACAGGCGGTTTCTCAGTATTTCTGCTGAAGAACCTCCGTTGAATTGTAGATTCAAATAGAGAGAAGTTTCTTGGGAGCAGTAAGCATGCACGGTTTTTGTGTATTGGGCTTCATGGCTTTTGTGATGAAACGTTCCGGGTAACCGTTTTCAAGGAGGATTCTTTTCAGGGTCTTCAGCTCCTCTTCTATAGTTTCCCGACTGCAAATGTTGTGGATTCTGTGAGTCGGTGAGAGGATTAGATTTCGTTTTGTATATAGAGGCACCCAACTGTGAAAGCTGATGAGTTGTCCATTCCATGTCGGTTTTCTGTGAATGGATCTTTTGAGTGTCCCATCTTGTTGGCGTCTTGCTAGTTGCAGGTCCAGAAAAGATATTGTTGCGTTGGACTCCTTCTCTAGTGTGAACTGGATTGCTGGATGGCAACTGTTGAAGAAGTCCAATATGTTCTCCAAATTTTCCTCATTATTGGCGATAATAAAAGTATCGTCCATGTATCTTTTGTAGAACCCGAAGTTATCTATTATCTTCTTTAGGTGTGTATTTTCTAGTTTTGACATGAAAATATCTGCAAAAAGCGAGCCGAGTGGTGAGCCTATAGCTATACCATCTTTTTGTCTATATATTTCATTATTGAAAGTGAATTGGACGTTTAGAGTACATCTTCATAGGAGTTCCTTCAAATAGTCCGTGGGTGTACCAATGTTCATCTCCTTTGAATCAATATATCCACATATATAGCATATTGTTTCGGTTAGTGGGACGTTTGTAAACAGTGATACCACATCTAGTGAGAACATGGTTTGATTGGAAACGCTGACGTTTTCAATGGAATTGACAAAATCGAAGGAGTCTCGGAGTGAGTGGCGGGAGATTTGCTTTCTGACTGGTTCTAGTATGTCTACTAGCCATTGTGCGGTACTGTGATAAGGTGAATTAGTCATATCGAGAATGGGTCGAAGAGGTACGTTTTTCTTGTGCACTTTTGGTAGTCCATATAGCCGGGGTATATTTGAGCCCGACGGTTTCAACGATTCGAAGGTTTCAAGATCGATGAATGATTCAGTCTTTAGTTTTCGGAGAAGGTTCGTTAGTTTTTGTTCAGATTGTTCCGTCATGTTCTTTTCGTTTGCTGGTTTTATGAATTTAGATTCGTCGGATAGGATGGTCAGCATTTTACTTACGTAGTCTTCACGATTCATGACTACGATTCCCCCACCTTTATCCGGGCGTAACAGAATAATCTCTCTGTTGTTTATTAATTCCTTGAGCTCTCTATAGTGTTTTTTGGTCAGTATTGACTTTCCATTTGGTTTGGTATTCATAAATTTATGGCAGCTGTCGAGGACTACCGACCTGAACTGTTGCAGGTTCTCTTCGGAAGTTGGTGATAGATCATATGTTTGGTTTATGAAGTTTTCGAACTGAACTTGGGTTTGAAGTTTTTGGATTTTTGTTGGTTTTGTGCAGAAATTTGTACCGAAGGATAGTGCTTCTAGTTGAAGTTCTGACAGCTCAATGTTTGAGAGGTTAAATACGTATTTTTCTGGATTGCTTGGGAATGGACATTCAGGGTCGCTCGTCGGTTTCAGGCTAAACTAAACAACATTGACTCCATCCAATCACGTGTCCCTGAACTAGAACGAAATGTTGACTTACGAGTTCACGCAGTCCACGATTTAGACCAAGAACTACGCCAATCGTTCGAAGAATATGTCGAAGAAGTTGCACAGAAACAATGTGAGAATGTTTTGTTCTTGCACAATAGTCTCCCTCGGGATCGCAAATATCTTCCTGTTTCTTTGTCTGCTGACAGTAGCAGTGAATGACTAGACAGCGTCGATATCATGTCCATAGTCCATAAGGTGCTTTATTATTGAGGTTTTTGGCACTTTGTATTCAGCCGTTTTCAAGCGTCATGCGAATAAACAATAGTCTTTATGTACGACCTATGTATTTGCCTCCACAAACACACTCTTCATATTAATACACGCAGTTTGACGTGTCGGGTCTTTCCCAGATTGTTGAAGTACCCTCTTGGTAGTGTTATGAAAGAGGAGCTTTTCAGCATGATAACTTCTCTTGATAGATTTATCGGGTCTTCTTTGTTTGACCACTTCTTGTACACATCATCTCCTTTGAGAATGGCTATTGTGATATAGACAGATTTCTTTGGAACGGTTTGGATAGTTTTCTTGAGGGTTCATTTCTTTAGAGTATTTATCAATGAATTTCTCAGGATATCTCCATTCTTAGATAGAAAAGCGTTCAGAGCCTTTATTTCATATTCAGTTGTACTGTCAGAACACAAATTTTACGTGCTTTATTGAACAGTGTTCTGACTGATTTCTTTTTATTCTGGATCGGAACAAAACATTTAAAGTGTATGTACTACTGTCCTGTACATGAAGAAACTTTCTAAATATAAATCTTTCGATTGTGCCATCAGTGTCCTTTTCACTAGATAGATAGAGACGTCTAGGAATCTAATAGTGCCATTTTCCTTGTGTTCCGTTGTGTCGTGTTTGTTTATTTTATTTGACTCCATTTTTATTACTCTAAGCTGAGTATTATTATTATTATTACTAATAATTCCTAGTAGTAGTAGTGTGGCGTGTGCTACTGATAAGACTTCTCAGTAGTATGTGTATAAAGAGATGTTCACTGGCATCAAAATATCAAATAACAGGGAGATGGATTTGATGCCAGAGATAGTTATCTCCTACGTGGCGACGGTATCAGTAGGAGATAACTTGGGTCGTCACACCGTTCCTAGCGTAGCTCCGTTGATAGTAGCAGCGGGCGCCAACCAAATTTGTCAAACCTCACAACCTACTGATACATTGGCGATGGTATCAGTGGGGGCTGGACTTAGTTGTCATCAATCCAACCCCATGAACCAAACGAATTCGAAAAATATCATGCCGGATCGGCCGTGGCCCGGATTAACAATGACCGCGCTTTCTGCTGCCGTGTCACAGGGCAGAAGTGATAAGTATACTACTGAGACACACCAGGCCGCGTGTGACCGGCCTCAAGCAGATGTCCCCTGGGCTCTGCGGTCACGCAACACTAACCTTTCTTCTATTTCAGGTACCCGAAGACTAAACTCAGGCGTGAGGCCAGCAACCCCACCCTGTAGACAAAGATGCTACAGAAACTTCAGCGTGAACAATCTCCTTGCGTCAAAAGAAAAAGTCTGTGTGGGGACATGGAATGTCCGCACCATGTACAAGACTGGCAAAGCTGCCCAGATCGCAAGCGAAATGAGGAGATACGGAATACAAGTATTGGGGATCTGCGAAAGCAGATGGAAGGGAAACGGACTCACCAAATTGTCAACAGGTGAGTGAGTGATTTACTCCGGTCACTCGGAAGACAACCACACACACACCGAGGGCGTGGCTATCATGATGTCACCAATGGCAACCAAGGCTCTGATACAATGGGAGGCGATCTCACCCAGAATAATAACCGCCAGATTCAACTCCAAAGGGAGGAAAGTGTCAATTATACAGTGCTATGCACCCACAAACAACGCAGACCTCGAAAAGAAAGAAGAATTCTACAGACAACTACAGGCAGCAATAGACAATACTCCAGCTGGTGACATTAAAATACTAATGGGAGACATGTACGCCAAACTTGGACCA